TTCTTTCACTTAGCATAATGTCTTCAAGTTTCATCCAGGTTATAGCATGTATCAGATTTTCATTCACGTTTATGACTGAATAATTTTCCATTGTGTGTATATACCACATTTTGTTTGTTCACAAGTTGATGGACTCTTGGGTTGTTTCTCTTTTGGCTACCATGAATAATGCTGCAGTCACCATTGGCATACAAGTAACTGTTCAAGTCCTTGCTTTCAATTCTGTTGGATATATACCTAGCAGTGGAATTGCTGTGTTGTATGTTAATTCTATGTTTAGAATTTTGAGGAATCACCAAGCTGTTTGGACCATTTACTAGCAGTGTATGAGGGTACCAATTTCATCATGTCCTCACCAACTTAATTTGTCTGACTTTTTGACTTCAGCCATCCTACTGGATGTAAAGTGGTATTTAGTTGTGGTTTTGATTTGTGTTTCTCTAATGATTAGTGATGTTGAACATCTTTTCATGTGCTTATTGGCTATGTATATATCTTTTTTAGAGAAATGTCCATTCAGATCCTTTGCCCATTTTTAAATTGGGTATCTTTTTATTACTGGGTTGTAAGTGTTCTTTGTATATTTTAGGTACAAGTCCCTTATCAGATATGTTTTTTCTGGGAAATACAAGCTGGAACCACTTAAAATTATTCACTTGAGGTTTTCTGGGTCATATCACTAGTGTAAATTCAAACTGTAGACCTATATATGACTGGCTTGTGGTTACATATTCTTTGGAATGGCTTTATTTTCCTTTCACCCATCCCCAAGGCCAGGACAGGCAAGTTTACTTGCCGTCCTCTTCAGCACAGTGGGGTTTGTTTTTATTTCATACCTGGGTGCTTAGGGTGTGGTTCTTGAGGTTCATAGTTTTCTTTCTTTTTAAAATTTTTTATAATGTTTATTTTTGAGAGAGAATGAATGAGCAGGGAAGGGGCAGGGAGAGAGGGAGACAGAGGATCTGAAGTGGGCTCCATGCTGACAACAGACAGCCCGATGTGGGGCTCAAACTCATGAACAGCGAGATCATGACCAAAGCTGAAGTCAGACGCTCAACCGATTGAGCCACCCAGGTGCCCTGAGGTTTCTAGTTTTCTAATAGATCCTTTGTATATTCCACACATTGGATGGTTTCTAGTTTTCTAATAGATCCCTTGTGTATTCCACACATTGGGTGGGTCCTAAGCTTTATCACCTGCCTACCCGTCTCCTACCTCCCTTTGTAGCTATTAAAGCTGTAAGTTCAAGATTTTTAAGGTTTGGCAGAAATCTTGGGGTGAGAACTTGTTCAATATTCAGTGTTCTCTCTTTCACTTTGTTTTTGGGAGCTGCAGTTCTTTGCTTTCATGCCAGCTCAGAAATGTACTTAAACAGCTGGATACAATGTAAAACAACATTTCTGAGTTGGCAAGAAAGCAGGCAGGGTCAATCAGGGTATCTAATATACAGTAGTTCTATAAATGGTGATCAGGTCATTGGAATTCAGAAGTCAATAAGCTGTAAGGACAAGGTGATTTTTTTTTTTAAATTTTTTTTTTAACGTTTATTTATTTTTTTGGGACAGAGAGAGACAGAACATGAACGGGGGAGGGGCAGAGAGAGAGGGAGACACAGAATCTGAAACAGGCTCCAGGCTCTGAGCCATCAGCCCAGAGCCCGACGCGGGGCTCGAACTCACGGACCGCGAGATCGTGACCTGGCTGAAGTCGGCCGCTCAACCGACTGCGCCACCCAGGCGCCCCAGGACAAGGTGATTTGTTGATAGAGACATTAAAATCTTCTGACATGCAGTTGGGATTAGGGTTATAGTAGAAGACTGAGTCAGACGTGTAAGTCCTCAGCGAACTTTTGGAAGTCACTAAGAGGTTAGTAGTGAGCAGATAGAGTATAGGTAAGTTGGAGGTACTGAAGTTGGGTGGACTAAGTGTCAAAGGAAGTCTTTTTCTATGCAAGAATGAAAGAGAAGTACCTTGAATAACAAGAGTAACTAATGTTCATCCCTTTGTTTGTCCTGTGGTACACAGGAGTGGATGAATGGTAAGTAGTATGTGATCGACTCTCCTTTACCTTTGACATCTCTCTTAACTTCATATGGTTTTTGTTCTTAAACTAATCAAAATACAAAACAAATGAATTCTATGTTTAAGCATACTTTGTTAAGAGTGGGAAATACTAAAGCATGCTTTCCCCTTTCTTGTAATAGCTTAATAGACTGAGTTCTTCCAGGCAGAGACTGAGCATTTTATAACCCAAGTATTTAGTAACACTGTTCATGGCACATAGAATATAAACTTCATAAGAGCCGTCCTTTTTGTCTGTTTTAGTCACTGCTCAATAAATTTTTGTTTCATGAATGAATGAATGAACACAAGATACTCATAAATGTTTGTCAGATCATATACCTGTACTTGAATGGTTTTCATGATGCTGATGAGTTTCTTGATCAGCTTGGCAAGAGGGAGGGGGACCTACTTTTTTTCTTTTTCTTTACCCTTTTTCTGTCTCTTAAAAATATTTATTGAAGTATATATGTAGAGAAAATTGACTATATCATAATTGATCAGCTCAATTAATTTTCATAAGCTGAACACATTTATGTAAATATCACCCACATCAAGAAATAAGGAACCTAACTTTTAAAACCATTACTTCAGAAAGTTATTTTCATATAATTTGGTGGGAGCCTGACTCTTTAGTGACTCAGAGGCAGTGCTTACCATTTGCCAGAAAGACAATTGTAAAGTCCTAGATGTATATGAGTTTTTCCTTTTTAGATGTGATTGAAAAAGAACGTCAGAGTTCCTATAATGTTGGAGCCCAGAGCAAGTGATTGTGTGACACGCATTCATACCCAGCATGACAAATAGTGTTGCTAATGGTTTATATCCTAGGGATATGAGGTAGTGAGTTTTTTACTCAATGTTACTGTATTTTGTGTAGATTATATCAGACTTGGTCATAATGTATGTCCTTTCCTTAAGAAAAAACCCTGTATCTAAATTCATGCTTCTTACAAGTATGTGCAGAATGTGAACCCATTTCTAAGTAGAGGACAGGCAATATGGAATGTTGTACTTCAGGTTTTAAAGTTTAGATTCATGATTACCAAAATACAAATTTGTTTAAAGAAAGTCTTTGCTTTTGTTGCCTTCTCTAATTCCATTACATCACTTACTTTTTAAAAAGTTTATTTTTGAGAGAGAGCATGTGCACACACAGGGGAGGGGCAGAGAGGGAGAGAAAGTCCTAAGCAGGCTCTGCGCTATCAGCATCGAGCCCCATGTGGGGCTCCATCCCATGAATTGTGGGATCATAACCTGAGCCGAAATCAAGAGTCAGATACCTAACTAACTAAGCCATCCAGGTGCCCCTACTTTTTTTCTACAGCAAGTGTTGGAAAATTTTTTCTTAAAGTGCCGACTAGTAAATATTTAGGTTTAAGGGCCATACTGTCTCTGTCACAACTGCTCATTCTGCTGATGTAGTGTGAAAGCAGCTATAGACAATACATAAACGACTGTGGCAATGTTCCAATGAAACTTTATTTATAATGACCAGTGATAGGCTGGATTTGACCCACAGGTTATTGTTTACTCGTCCCTGTGATAGATTATTTACTTGCCCAATAAACAGATGTTCTAAATTGAATGATCTCCAATTTATGGAGGCTTTTTCTTTCATGTTTTATTTTGTGGCTATCATTTTCTTTTCTGAAAGAAAGAAAAAAAAAAAATGCCGCCCTCTGGTCCTAAAGATTTTCTCCTAAGGGCACCTGGATGGCTCAGTTAGTTAAGCATCTGACTTCAGCCCAGGTCATGATCTCTAGTTTGTGGGTTTGAGCTCCACATTGGGTTCTGTGCTGATGGCTCAGAGCCTGCAGCCTGCTTCAGATTCTGTGTCTCCCTCTCTCTCTGCCCCTCCCCTGCTCATGCTCTGTCTCTTCTTCAAAAAGAAAGGTTAAAAAAAATAGATATTCTCCTATGTTTTCTTCTAGAACAGGTAGTGGCAAACTTTTCCTGTAAAGAGCCAGGATAGTAAATATTTTAGGCTCTGTGGGCCATCGACCTCTGTCACAACTACTCAGCTCTGCTGTTGTAGCAGGAAAGCAGCTATAGAGAGTTCATAAATGAAATGTGTGTAGCTATGTTTTGCTAAAACTTCATTTACAAAACCACATGAACTGCAGTTTGCTGACCCCTAATCTAGAATAAAACCTCAATAAATGGACACTCAAAATGAAATGTTATAAAGGAACCAGTCATTCAGTAACTTAAGTAACAAATCTATTGAATGTGTGCTCTTTGCCAAACTGAGAGCTAAATGGTTAATTAAATTATGGAGTATCCACTCATTGCCATATTAAGATCATTGAAAATGATTATTTTGAAGACAAAGCAACATGGGAAAATGCTTTTAAGTGGGAAACAAGATAAAAGTTTGTTTGTATCTTAAATACAGACTACTGGAAGGAATGCATGAATTTTTGTTAGGTAGAAGGATCTTTTTTTAAATTTTTTAATATTTATTTTTGAGAGAGAGCAAGAGAGAGAGACAGAGCATGAGCATGGGAGGGGCAGAGGGAGTGGAAGACAGAATCTGAAGCAGGCTCCAGGCTCTGAGCTGTCAGCACAGAGCCTGATGCTGGGCTCAAGCGCACAAGCCATGAGCTCATGACCTGAGCTGAAGTTGGATGCTTAACTGACTGAGCCACCCAGGTGCCCCTAGAAGATCTTTTTCTCTTTTTAAATTGTCTGCAGTGTTTCTATATTCCAAAAGAAACTTAAAAATAGTGTAATGAGATACCAATTAAAGTAAAAACCATAAAGTGGTTTTTACCACTACTATGTAGTATGAAAAAGGGAAGCTTTAAGAGCTATTGTTCAGCAAAATTCTGCAGCCTTTTTACTTAATCAGGATAAAATTGACATTTGAGGAAGATGCGTTGCCACTCTGTTCAAGATATATTGTCATTTCTTTTTAAAATTTTATATTATAACAGTGCCCTTATGTGTGCCATTTGCTGTATTTACTTACCAGAAAAGAGAATGGTGAGTATTTTTATTCCAGTTTTACTACATTTATTCTGTGGAATTAACATTTCTTTTTTTTTTTAATATGAAATTTACGGTCAAATTTGTTTCCATACAACACCCAGTGCTCCTCCCAACAGGTGCCCTCCTCAATGCCCATCACCCACCCTCCGCTCCCTCCCACTCCCCATCAACCCTCAGTTTATTCTCAGTTTTTAAGAGTCTCTTATGGTTTGCCTCCCTCCCTCTCTAACTTTTTTTCCCTTTCCTCTCCCCCATGGTCTTCTGTTAAGTTTTTCAGGATCCACATAAGAGTGAAAACATATGGTATCTGTCTTTCTCTGTATGACTTATTTCACTTAGCATAACATTCTCCAGTTCCATCCACGTTGCCACAAAAGGCCAGATTTCATTCTTTCTCATGGTCAAGTAGTATTCCATCGTATATATAAACCACAACTTCTGTATCCATTCCTTGGTCGATGGACATTTAGGCTCTTTCCATAATTTGGCTATTGTTGA